AAAATCTTTAAATGTTCATGTCTACTATGATAAAGACTTATGTTTGATTCTTGAAGTGTTTCATTTTGTTAAAATCTTCGAGTACTCAAGTATGTGCAGTCTACACAAATTGTAAAGACTTATGTTTTTATCAAACCGGGTTGATTTTGTAAGTCGGATTGATGAACCGGTTTAAAAAATGTTAGATATACACGTGCTCAAGCTGTATCACACAAGTGTGACCAACTCTCAACCTAACCCTTAACAACTAACAAAGTAAAAAAGATGTTGACATTGAGTTGCTTTATTCGATTTCAACAGATTCGAATTCTGACAAATGTATTTTCTATTATCATCAAACATTTAAAAGCTAAAATTGTCTGGAATCACGAGTTTTTTTTTTTATTTTTCTGGGGTAAGATCTTGTCACAATTTTTGTAAACATTAAGAAAGAATAGGGGTCATGAAAATTTGGTTTTATCTTCTCCCTATCCCAACATCTAAAAACCTAAAAAAATATAACATTTGTGATTGAGTTTCTCATTTTATAAACAAAAAAAACATCTTCTTATTTTGTAAATCACTATGCCACAAATTTTTTCATCTTTATTCCATCCACATTAATGGTCTTTTGTTTGTTTTTTTGCCAATTTTTTGTGTGTTAGTGCTGGTTAATGGGCCTAGCCTTACAGAGTACACTATACTAATGGGCCTAGCCTTACAGAGTACACTATATTAATGGGCCTTTACCCATTGACATTTTTCTGCTTACAGTTGTTAGTTGGGCCTTAGTATTACGTAATACAGTCTACGGTCTAATATAATGGCGAGATCAGTTCACGTGAACACGTGCTTCATACATTTAACATTCGGTTCGGTCCTAACTGGTATGAAGAAGTTTAGTAGTTACAAATTTTTCTTTTTACAATCTATAGGTTTGAATTTTATCTTAAAACGCACAAGTTGAAAAAACGAGAAAGAACACAAAACTTATGAATAAAATTGATCAAATGGATTTGATGCAACTATGTTACTCCAATTGCAATAAACGCATGTCAACTTGTCAACATTTTTGTTTATGTAGTATAATAATAATGTCAAGTTGTCACCATTTTAAAACCCAAAATTAACGATGAAACGTTGCAATATGAGCGACAAATTACTAGCATGCAGAATATTCTATGGTTCTTGCTGCAAAGTTCGAAATTGTTTTTTTTATTATATTTAGGCAAAATCAAATATTGACCGTTGGGCGTTAGATTTTTAATCTCTACAATAAGTAAAAAAGAGAATCAATCTCTTCTTCCCTCAAATATCTAAACTAAATTATATTCTTCCTTGGTCAAAAGCTCAAGTGGAGCTGATTTTATTTATTTATTTTTTGTCGTTTTTTCCTAAAGTTAAATAATTGAAATAATTGTTTTTCTTTCAGAAATATGACAAAAATATTTATCCATATTTATAATGTTTAGATACGCACTTACTAGTATATAACAAGAGGTAGAAGTTGCAGGTCTAAAATATTGGTATTAAAAATAAAAAAAAAGATAAAACTGACTTTGCAATAAAATCATTCATTCCTTACGAAATCTCTCTCTCTCTCTCGAGCGAAGCGTCTCTTCTTTGGATCAAGCGGCGGCGAAGAAGAAGAAGAGAGATTCGATTCGTTTAGACATGGTTGAGACAAGGCGTAGCTCTTCGGCTTCGAAACGGTTTTGTTCTTCTTCTCCTGAAACTTCATCATCGAGGCCTACCAAACGATCTAAGGTTAAGATCGAAGCCAACGTTAGTGCTTTCGATTTCAATCCGTGTCGGAATCGTTGATTTATCAATTCGAATTGTGGATTTCGCTTGTGAATACATGGATTTGAATCTGGGTTTTTTTTTGATTTTTCGAATTTTGTGGTTTTTTCGTTTTCGTTGATTTTGATTTTGAGTTTTTTTTTTTGGGGGAAACCCTAGACGGCGCCGGCGGAACCGGCAGGGTCTTCGTCGGCGAGTGAGGTGCCGATTGAGAATCAGAATCCGGTTTCGGATCCTGGATCGGAATCTGGAGAGCCGGAACTGAGAACTTCTGATCCACAGACTAATGATGAGGAGAGGCCAGTTACTACAACCGATGTACCGGCGATGGAAAAGTGTCCTGATACCGACATGAATCCAGAAGTTGAAGGCTTGGTAACGCCTACACCTGCAGGTTCGCATGTTTTGCATGTTGTCCTTTTTACGGGTTTCTCATGGAAAAAGTTGTCTCTTTTCTTATATGTTTTGGTTGTTTTTGGAATTGAAATTGGGTTTGGGATTTACAGGTGAGGTGGTGGCTGATGTTGAGAAGTCGAAATCTGCAA